TGACCGGAAACGTCCGTCAACAAGTCTTTCCTCTCCAAAAAGTATACCAATCATGGGATAAGGAATGAGTAAGGGAATGATCATTTCATTCTCATGTCATTCCTTCCTACCAATTATGCCATTAGAGAGAATATCTCTTTGAGTTGTGCAAGTACATATTTAACTTGTCCCTTATCATTACTTGTTATTAACATGTTATCCACATAGATTAGAATATATTTTTTATGAGATGAGTTGTCCTATAGAACAATTAGGTATCATCTTGAGATTTCCTATAACCAAATAAGCAAAGTTTGTCTCCTTCTTGTCGAACCAGACCCAAGATGCCTATTTAAGGTCATATATAGCCTTGGACAATTTACAAACATCTCACTTTCTCCATTTCTCTATTAAAACCCAACAGGTTGTCTCATGTATATATCTTTCTGGAGTTCACCATAAAGAAAAGTCTTGTTCATTTTCAAGTGCTTAACTTTTAAGCCCTTCTGGAAAACCATATGTAGAACAAGTCTTATAGTTGNTAATAAAAAAAAAAAAAAGAACAAGTCTTATAGTGGTAGGTTTTACAACAGCACTAAGCCTTTCTGCAAAATCAAAGCAAGCTTTTTGTGAAACACCATGGGCTACAAGTATTTCTTTGTGCCTAGCCATAGATCCATCAGAGTTCCTCTCAATATTAAAAATCGACTTTCTTTTGTAATGTTCTTATTGTCAGGAACTGGAACCAATGTACATGTTTGATTTCTTATGAGTGCATCATATTCCATTTATATGGCTTCTTTCCAATTAGTGTTATTCAAACTATGTCTTGCGTCATTTTGTTTTCTTTCTAATTCAGCAACAAGTACTTTTGGTCTAGAACTTCCAGTCATTGATCTTGTCATCATATGATGTCTATGTACAATTGTTTCAATTTCTTGATCATTGTGATCATTTTGGTTTAGTGGCAGATCAACACACAGTGGGACTGTACTGTAAGAACAAGATCATCTTCATTGATTGAAGCCACAAGAGGGTAACATACTTTTCATATAAACCATAACCTAGCCTCTACACATTCCATTTTTAGTTTCTGACAAGAATCGAACGCATGGTTCGGATGAAAAAAACATATCAACCTTACAACTCATTAATGTAGAGATAAAACAATCTAAGCTACAAATCAGTAAATATCCTTCTATCATCTGTGCATGTAGGGCAACAAGTGAGCTGTCATAATGCATGTGACAACAGTTGAGCTGACATGGTGCATAGGAGCCTCTAAGCAAGTCTTTGGCTATGATTGATATCCTTTTTCAAGTCGATATATATTAAATAATAAGGCTGCTGGTAGGCATGCCCAAATGGTCCGACAAACTATACTTTTTTAATAATTTTCTGTATTTTTATACTTGAATATCTTAATTTACAAAACAACTAAAAGAAAAGTATGACATTTTGCATGCATTTTTCTTGGCAAAAAAGGTTTTTTGGTACCTTAAATGACTACCTTTTTTGCTTTTGGTCCCAGTAAAGGTCTGTTTTTGGAAATGATCCTGTAAGTTAAAAAAAAAATAGTTTTTTTGTGTTCTGACCGTCAATAGTAGGTCAAAGTGACTGGCTACGCCTACATGGAAATTCCTTTAATACGTGGCAGTTAGGTGGCATCAATCTGCTTACATGTAAATTTTGTTTAATTATTTTTTTTATTTGCTGAGGTGGCAGATGGCAAATTATCAAAAGAAATGACGACAAGGTGATTCGAACGTTGTATTGTCATAATGCATGTGACAGCGGTTGAGCTGACATGGTGCATAGGAGCCTCTGAGCTAGGGATGTCAATTTGGCCCGGATCCGACTGGACTTGGCCCGACCTGCAGTTTTTGGGGCGAGTTGGACCCGCCCCGTTACCAAAACGGGCCAGGGCGGGTCCGCCTGTTGCATAAACGGGCCAGGTCTGGGGCATAAATGTTGGCCCTTCCCGATCTGCCCCAGCCCGCCCCGACCTGGCCCAGTCAATATTGTTAGTAAAAATTGGGATAAATAAGATGTACACATTAATTTTCTTACCAACCTTCTCTACTTTTCCTTTTCTTGTTCTCCCTACTCTCTCCCATCACTCAGCGTCACTTCCTCCATCATCTATTTTTTTTTTTTCTCTCTTTCTCACACTTTTAATTCTAGTTCCAGCATATTTTCTTCTCTGATTTTCTTTTTCTTCTCTCTTTATCTTTTTCACTCACAGATCTAAAGAACTCTTTAATTCTCCTTCCATCAGGTTTTTTTCTTTATTTTTTTCTTTTTCTTCTCTCTTCACATACTCACAGATCTAGGGTTGGGCCGTTGGGGGTTGCACCGTCTGAAATGGTTGGGAGGCAGAGGCCGCGAGCCACGACACGGTTAGGAGACGGCCAATGGTGTCACTTTGGCCAGTAGAAGCAACTATTGTGATGATTAGTTAGATTTTTGAGGTTTAATTTGCTTAATTTTTGTATATCCATTAGAAATTTGCAACTGCGATCTTTTTTTTGTTAAATTTAGAACTTACAGAGCTGCCTTTTGGGTGAGATATGGCTGCAAAAAAAAAAAAAAC